CGGAGTTTCCAGTTTTCAAACTGGCTTAAGTCAACAGCTAATTCTTCATCTGTGAATTAAAACAAACAAACAAACAAATGCCAAAAACCAATAAAAAAACCCCACAGCTGATGGAGCCTGTAACTTAGCCTCATTATAGGCCAGTGTATATGGCGTTCTCACTATTGCATTGACTGGTCTTGAATACCTTAAACCTTTATCTTGTGCCATTCCCTGTGAGGGAGGGTGGTTCTGTTGGCTTATGTGCACAGCCTTGTCAAGTCTGAGACTCTTAAAAAGTAATTTCTTCCTTACAGACCGGTCTGTTACACTAAAGCAGAAATTTCAAGACTCTCTGCATCACAAATTCGGAATCTGAATCCTGTGTTTGGGGGATCGGGACCAGCTCTTACAGGACTTCGTAATCTAGGGAACACTTGCTATATGAATTCCATATTACAGTGTCTGTGCAATGCACCTCACCTGGCTGATTATTTTAACAGGAACTTGTATCAAGATGATATTAACAGGTAACAATCTCTTATTCTCATCCTTTAATGTATAATTGAAGGAAAAAAACCTGCCATTACAATTGTTAACTCAAAAAAAATCACTTAATGGGGTTGGGGGGGGTTGCTTGTTTTCTTAAGTAGGAGACAAATGCCAACTTCTAAGTCTCTTTGACGTTTTCAAAATTTGTGTGTGTGACAAAATAGATTTTACTGGACAGTCTTAATTAAACTGTGCTTTCCATATTGATAAATATAAGTGTACTAGAGTCTCCTAAAACCAAACAGAATATTTAAATAGCAGTTTACAAAACAAGCTGGAAACAGCTGTACCTTCCATCCGTCCAGTCTTGAATATGGAACCAAATTACAGTGCCGAAGTAGACAAAAAATTTTAACTCAGTCTAACAGCCAGTTTTTCTTAGTCTAAAGAAATTACTTTGAAATTGGGATAATGTCTTGAATTAATAACAGTAATATATTAAAAAAAAGAGTTATTTGAATGGCTCACTATATTTTTTTTCCTGGTCTGTTTAATTGTATAGGTCAAATTTCCTGGGGCATAAAGGTGAAGTGGCTGAAGAGTTTGGTGTAATAATGAAAGCTTTATGGACAGGACAGTATAAATACATCAGTCCAAAAGACTTTAAAATTACAATTGGGAAGATTAATGACCAATTTGCAGGATATAGCCAACAGGACTCCCAAGAATTACTTCTCTTTCTAATGGATGGCTTGCATGAAGACCTAAATAAAGTAAGCAATACACTTGTAACAAATTATACATCTGTCAGATGATAAGAGAAATAAATTTTAAAAAGACCCTCTTCTTTCATAAGAAGATTATGTTACTGGAACCTTGTATAGAAGGAAGTACTTGTATTCAGAATTAAAAGTAGGAATTTATTTTGAAACAGTATAAGGTACTGAAGGGAGTAATGGAAGAAGCCTAACTAGATAAGAAATGGATGGCTACACTGACATGTTTAAATATTCTGGCAAATATTCAACAGTATGCTTGCCTATAGATGAGACTTCCTATTTTTTTATATGTTAATATATAGCTATGGTATTTAAACTTCTGTTATCCAGGCTGACAACAGGAAAAGACACAAGGAAGAAAACAATGATCATCTTGATGACTTCAGAGCAGCAGAACTAGCCTGGCACAAACACAAACAGCTCAATGAATCCATTATTGTGGCACTCTTTCAAGGCCAGTTCAAATCTACAGTGCAGTGTCTCACATGTCACAAGAAGTCACGGACCTTTGAGGCTTTCATGTATTTGTCGTTACCGCTTGCATCCACTAGTAAATGTACACTGCAGGTACGCTGGCACTAGAGAGAAACAGTCCTGAAGTCAAAACATTTCTCTGTGACTTCATTATGATGTTGCTTCTGCTCAGCCTCCTGTTGAAGGGGTTGGTCAATATTCCAGCTTAATTTACACTAACCTGAGACATGAACAGATCTGAGTCTTCATTATTTTTTAATTCTTCTAAAGTTTAAAAAAATAGGCCATTCCTTAAAAGTTTTAAAAGACAAGCAGGATGGAAATATTTAAGCCACAGTAGCAGCAAAGACATGTATAGTATTTGTTTTTGTAGGTCGTAGTATAAATATTTTGTGTTTTTAAACAAAATATTGTAGGTATATTTTGAAGGACTTGCAGCTAATTAATATACACAGTAACATTTACTTCCACACATGGATTTAATTCACTTTTCCTCACCTTTGTGAAACATAGCACACAGATAATTGACGCAGGTTAACAACCAAATAGGAAACAAACATTTTTGCTACACTTTCCTAAACACCTGCCCTTCACAATCTGTGTTTGTATTTCGTTTTAGGAATGCCTTAGGTTGTTCTCCAAAGAGGAAAAGCTCACTGATAACAATAGATTTTACTGTAGCCATTGCAAAACTCGGAGGGATTCTTTGAAAAAAATAGAAATTTGGAAATTACCACCTGTTCTTCTTGTGCACTTGAAACGGTAAGAGAAACAGTGATTGGTGAAAATTAATTAGGATGAAGCAACGAGGCTTTGATGGAGATCGATTGTTCCAGTGCGGTAGCTAACCATTTTTCATTAGAGAAAGCTCCAGATGTATTTCCAGTTGTAATGTTGCAAGAATTTTATTTTCATAGGATGTCTCTTTTATTAGGCTGTAGTTCATGAAGTGATCTCTTTTTGTTTGTGCTAAGCATTAACATGTGCAAGCATTAACAGAATCGGGGGTCAAATGCTTTAGTTGGGGGATCATGTCCTGGTTAAAAACAGGGAAAACAAACATGCTTAATATTCTTAAATAGCTTGTTCACAACCTGTAACTTTTAATGATGCTTTCTAATCCTCTAGATTTTCCTATGATGGAAGATGGAAGCAAAAGCTTCAAACTTCTGTAGATTTCCCATTGGAAACTCTTGACCTTTCACAGTATGTTATTGGTCCAAAGAATAACTTGAAGAGATACAATCTGTTTTCAGTATCAGTAAGTAACCCTGTCCCATTTCAAAGTTCAGCTGGTCTTTATGCCAAGGCTTGGGTTAGCCTGTGCAATTCATCTGGGTTTCCAGGCTGCCTACCTGGTTGCAGATTAAGTTGTATTCTAAAAAGAATGATTGGTATTTAGTAAAAATCTCGCATTCTAGTCTATTTCCCTAAGCAGGGAAGAAAGGGCAGCTTTCGAGGCCATGCATTTTATTTCCTTTTCTTATGTTTACAGAATCATTATGGCGGGTTGGATGGAGGGCACTATACAGCCTACTGCAAAAATGCTTCAAAACAACGCTGGTTTAAGTTTGACGACCATGAAGTGTCTGAGATCTCAGCATCATCTGTGAAATCCTCAGCTGCATATATTCTCTTTTACACTTCTTATGAACAGCGAGCAGTGGATGTGGCCACATAAAGTAGTGTGGGTTAAGAAAACTGGTTTTCTTTTTATAAGAGCAAAGTAGGTATGGGAATGCATATAAATATGCAAAACTATGACAAACATAGTCACAGATATGGGGATGGTTGCAGCAGCTTTTCTGCAAGAAAGCTCTTTCTGGTCAGTACTAGTGCTTAAAAATCAGAAGACTGATTAATAATGCTTGTGGTAATACTGCCATCTGTGAAACCATTTAAGAAGCATACTTGCATTACCATTTATTTAAAAAACAACTATATTTTTAGTCTGCTCCAAAATTAAATTCTAGCTTAGTCATCTGAAATCTATTAACAAGTAGTTTAAAATGTCTTAAAATCCCAAGGCATATCTTGATTTTTATTTTTTTCTTTCACTGTTATGGCCTTTTCACATTTCTAACCTTAAGCTTGATTCTACTGTGAATACTCTAGAATGATGTAAACAGTTAGGAATGTAAGTGTACATATTGATTGCATACTTGCACATCAGAACTATGTATATAATAAAATGTTGTCCTTTTTGTGAGAATCTCTAAAACTCAGAGGATTGCGTTTATTTGCCAGCTCTAAGTAACTGCAACACTACTTAAAAAAGCAGAGCTGTATTTTTTTTCTGTTAGCTTTTGTCAATATTTGTGCACTTCAGAGTTATTCTAAACAAACAAGATTTTCCTTTTTAATTTTTTAATATAAATTTTCATGTACACATGCATTAAAAACCTTAATGAAGAAATGATTTAAAAATATATCCTGTTAAATGTATGTTTGGGTTTGGTGTTTTCATTCTCAACTAGTTGTGTAATGGTCAGGATTCTACATACTGACAGTCTCAATCATATTCACACAGTTTAAAGGTTCTTCAGATGAAAAAAAATACTACTTTGCGTAGAACTGATTCGTTTAGAAACTATTTTAGTTGCATCTTGTGCAATTCCCTGCCCTGGCTTTAGGTTAGTCTTCCCTCTCCGATTAGGTTGGCATTCAAAAATTTTAAATCCTACATTGTGAGCTTCTTTCTGTCTACATGCATGTGTCTTGCTGATGGAATTAAGCCCAGGCTTGATTGTGTTCTAGAAGCTTACAAGCTGCAAATGAATTTGCAGTGCTAGAGGGACAAAACCGACAGTACTAGAATAATGCCTTTTTCTTTCCCTTATGTTAATGGTCACTTCATCCCCTGCTCTCTTCTGAAACGTACACCCTCAGGGATCTGGTCGTATGCTTTCACCTTAGTATCCCGCTGTCAGTTTCTGAAAGGCAGCTTAAAACAACATAATTTACTTAACCAACAGAGAACCAGGAATTTCCAGGTAAGTGCATCTATATGCTCAGCAATTGTGGTCTTTTGAGGCATGTATGAGGTTTGTCACAGCAAACAACCATTAGCCCTCATAGAAATGGAGTGGATGCGCGGTCCTTAACGGGCTCGGAAGCTGCAGCTCTTCTCTGTCAAGTTACTCCCTGAAGGACCACACCAGATGATCAGGTAATGCAAATGCTCCAGTTTATTGATGAAACAGGACCTGGCAAATGCTGCCAATGAATGCTAATTGCTGGCTTACTCACTGTTCGTTTTCCATGGCTAGCAGGTTTTTAATGGGTGCAGAGAAGGCCTTGGCAGATGTAGAAGAGGAGATAAGCTGTGTCAGTCTGCACTGAGGAATTTGGGATCTTGGTGATCTGTGCATCATCAAAGCTGTACCACTTTTTGGTGACCGAGTGCTTGCAGAACGCCGTGTAGTGGCCGTCATCCAGAAAACCAGAGTGGTTCTGTAACAAACACCACAGTCTGTTCAAACAGCAGGCTCACTCTGTCTCCTCGCAGGCAAAGCTAGGAATTGGCAATCATTTTTTGTTTACACTTGGAAAAGATGGGAGAGAAGATTCTGTCCCCCCCCTTTGGCCTATAGTGAGGAATATGAATTCAAATAAATGCTTTAAAACAGAGGAAATAGATGATAATTATGCTGCTCTATTTTGCAATACCAAATTTGCAACCCAGCTATTAGCCCTGATACGGCTCACTATAAGCAGGCCCCACTTGCAGTGAGTGATGGAAAAAGAGATCATTTAGTCCTTATTTGCGGAGAGGATCCACGCAGGCTCAGCTGGCGAGTTTATGCTGAAAAGGCTGAGGCGTTACGTGCCAGGGGCGCGTGGTGTTTGAAATAGGGATGTGGTGGGGAGAAGCAGAGAGAAGTGGTAACATCTCTCTTCCTTGGTAACATACTGTTACTGGATTGTGGCTGTGGCAGGTAAAAAACCAAGTATACCATATATATGTGTTTATATATATAAAACCATAAATCATATACATAAAAACCTTGTTACTGGTACATTGTTAGTGAAGCACAGAGGAACCATGCTCTGTCACATGCTCTAGCTGCAATTTTTAAGTGCCTGGACCAGAGATGACTTGCTCTCCTCCAGTCCAAACCAGCGCAGGCTTCAGCTGCTACCGGCGGCAGGGCGTTACGGATGGAAGCAGGAAAGGCAAAGCTCACCGCTACGGCACACAGGCTGTACTCTGCATCCTGGCGGAAAAGGGGCGAAGTGTAAGGAGAGAGATCCAGACTGCTGAGTGGATAGCAGATGTCAGTTGAGAGTTTCCTTTCCTGTTTGCCTTGCCATTCAAACCTGAAATAACATTTTGAACTATTTTAAGTAACACTCAACTTCTTTCTTACATTGTAGTGGTTGCTAACTGACTTTCCTAGGGGAAGGGAAAAACAACCACTGACTACCCAGCATTTTGAAATAAAAAGATCTGTATTGAGTGCTGCTGTAAACTAACAGAAAACACACTACACCCCCAAGAGAGGTCCAGCAAGAAAAGCAAAGATCTTGCTTCCTGATCCTTCTGTCCATTAGAAATGGCAGAAGTCAAATCTCTGCATCGCTGTCACTGTGTCTTACATGTTTTGGACAGCACTGTGGTCAGCTCTTCTGTCGTGCCAGGCTCCATCCCTCTTCCCTCTGTAACTTTTAGTACAACATTATACTTGTAAACTTTTATAATGTGGCCAAGGGCTGCAGCTGGGGACCGCAAGTTCATTTGAGTGTGTCAAGGAAAGCAGATACTGAACGGGAAATTAAATAATAACTTTACCTAATGTAGTTCTGGGAAACCAAATCATCCCAGTGTGATTTTTTTTATAGGTGGGAAGTTGTTAAGAACAAATTCTTAAGAATAAATTTAGCATTGGGCCATGCGTGGCTAGTAAAGTCTGCTATCAGGAGCTCTTACGCTGAGGCACTGCTCCGTTCAGCAGACCTAGTTGCTTAGACCTGCGCTAGTTAAGGGATAAGGAAAACTACAGTGTCTCGGCTGCAAGAATGACAAGCGAAACGCCCCGTTTCGGTCCTGCACTTAGAACCCAAGTCACGAGCTCTCCCACTGGCCAGAGGAACTCGCTTTTGCAGGGATGTCTGACCGTGTGAACCGCTGTACTAACTGTAGTCGCTCACTCCTCGGTGGAGTTTTTCTTCCCTTTGGAGAAGAGATCCCAAATGTAGTGAGTGAAATGTGCTGGGCTGGAGTACAGCGTAAGGCAGAACACCTTGTCTGAGATTCCAGGAATGCAACTTGCATGTTTGACAGGTGTATTTCTGTAACTGCCCCGTTAGCTTCCAGGTGTGAAAAGTACTAAAACCACCCATTTGCAGTGATTTTTTTTCCCTTTATGCAAACGTGACTGTCCTTCATGTCTCACAAATCCTGGGAAATGGCCAGGTCCTACCCCCCACAGACTGTACCTCTTGAGGTGAAAAATAATGATCTGCGGTGCCTTGCTTATGGTGGCCTTCACTGCGGCATCTTGTTTAGTTCCACACCAGGAACAGTGGATTTGGTTGTTCCAAGTCAGTGTGTCTTGCTGAAAGAAGCATTTGAGACAGTCCTGTCAAAGGAAAAAAAAAAAAATAATCATTTGATCAAACAGATCTCCACCTCTGAAGATCCTAAGCAAGGTAAGAGAGGGGTTTGCCATAATTTGGAGCTCTCTTCCTAATCGAAGCACGACGTAGCAAGGCTGACATTACAAATAAATACACTTGGAACAGAAAGCAGCCAACATCGGCTTCCTTTTTCCCCCCAAAAATGAGAAAACACTTTGATGAGTGAAAGAAACCCTCACGGTTGCTATTGAACAATCTTAATATCCCTCATCCCGTGGCAACTCGGGAGCGTTGCTCCCACAACCTTAGCGGCCATTGCGGTCCAGAGACCAGCACAGAAACCCCACTTCTCTCAGGACCCGTTCAAAGACTATCCGTTAGTGCCCAGGAAACCACAGTAACTAAAAACCTGCATTTTTTTAATAACACGTATAAGTCTCAGCCACCTATTCCCACGTGAAGCCGAAACCAGCAGATGTATCAGAAGTCGTACCTGCAGAGAGCACCTGCTCTTCGAAGGGATGGGCAGGGAAAGAACGGTGAAGCGCTCGGGTCTGTCGGTGGTGGTCTTGCATTCCAGACACGTGATGTTGTAACTGAGCTGTCCCTCAAATAACCGTGTGATAATGGATGTTTCACTGACGCCGCTTGCTTTTGCATTGGTTATGCATCTTCTATTGCTTGACTATACAGAAGAAAAAAAAATTAACAAAACGTAGGTAACCAACTGTCTCAGAAGTGCCTTCACTGGGTTTTGACGGTCGCTGCCCTCTGCTTGTGTAGGCTAGTTGTTAGTCTTGTCGCAGAACTTGGCTCTAAAATGCTATTACTTTTCTTGACATTTCATAGATGCAGAGTAAGCTAAATTCCTTTTTGGAGAGAAATGAAACAAAAATATAATATTCTGGACATTAGACAGGAGTGATTTCATTGCTAGACAAGCTCTTTATCAGTGGATCTGCAGAAGAGAAAGGCGGACATGGGGGCATGGCAGCCATGAAGGTTTCAGGCAGCTGAAAAAGGGGAAGAATGCAAAACGTGGAAGGAGCAAGGAGAGGGAGAGGTGAGGATAATGGAGCTACAGAGAGCATTATCATTTAGATAGAGGGTGCAATCTGATGGAGCATTAGACAAGAGCAAATGAATTACTGTGTGTACGTGGGTATGAAGCAAAGGAAGAAAATGACAATTTTTAGCAGGCACATGGTGTAGGTTGGGAGAGGAGGATAGGCAATTATTACATGGAATGCTAAATCATGACGTGCAAAGAGGAACCAGCTATGGTCCCCACACCACCACTCGTACCTTCTTGAGAGCCTCGTGGAGCTCGTTCAGCACACAGATCAGAAACTCCTGTGCGTCCTGCTGAGTCTTCTTGCTAAAAGTCGGGTACCGCTTCCCAAGGACGGAATGGAAAACCTCCGGGGAAACGCAGTCAAACTCTCCAAGCCACATATCGGACATCAAACAGCCAAAGGCAGTTGCAGACTCGCCATTCTCCCTTGGGAAAAAAATAAACACAAATTTCAGGTAAAGCATGAAAAGATGGTGGCTCCACCTTCAAATGAGAGCATAATACACAAACGTAGAAAACATACGCAGGTACAGCTCTGACAGCCCGTCATTTGGTTTGAGGGACTCTGCAGATGCTAAAAGTAGTAGGAATCATCATCGAGACAGCAATGACAGTAACTGGTATTACCATCAAAATGACAAAAAAAGTATAATGCTTAAGTTACTCGGCAAGGAAAAATGACTGAGGGTCTCGGAGGAAGGGGAAGGAAACCAGCTCGTGGCCAATTTGGCTACAACTGCCTGCTGGGGAGCTGGTAGGTGGCTGCCTCAGACATTCTCATGGCAACACGTATCTTTTAGAAGGAAAACAGCAGTGCCAAGCAGAAAAAATAAATCAACTGACTTGTGTAGGGCTGCTTTGTACTGTCCTGAGAGGAAATACTCCACGAGCGGTGGCACGCTGCAGAGGCACTGCAGGATTGCGTTCATGTAGCACGTGTTGCCCAGATTCCTCAGGCCGGTGAGCCCTGCACGCTGGCTGTTCATCTGCTCCATCCCTTCCTTGCAGGAATACTTCACGCTTCCCAAGCAAATGGAGTCATACTTCCACCTACCAGGAAAAAAAAACCACAACAGTGAAAATCTAAAATGCTACGGTGCTTTTTGTATTGTGTTTTTAGGAAGCAGTACTGTCTTGAGGAGACGTTTCCTGCTGTTTCAGGACCTTCTTCATAAGCCACATTCACCCTTACTTTCATCAGGCTAATAGAGTGGTCAAGACTCCCTATCTCCTACACTAAGCTCTTCCCAATAGGGTGAGATACATCATTAAGAGGTATTACTTCAATACCTGGCGTTTTAGAGTTATTCCTAAAATTCCACTCAGTCTCTGACTCCATACGCAATTACTCAAAACCTGCAACCAGCTGTAAATAGCTATCCTCTTAAGCATTTCTCCCTACAGAATGCATGTTATATTTCATTTCCTCAGTGGTCTGGTACTTACGTACTTTCTAAAGCCACAGGTTGCAGTCCAGATGCTACTATAAACAGGTTGCTCTTTAGACTTTTCCCACAAAATGTTACTTAATTCACATTAAGAAAATTTTAGGAGGTTTGTTTTCCTGCTGCACAAGTCTGTCCTGGACCAAACCGTCCCCATCCCCAATTAGGCAGAAGAGAGGTCTGAACACAGACCCTGCGCAACCCAGATGTGCTCGTTGATGCTGAATTTTTAAAGGCCACTCTTTTATTCTGATGCAGAAGGGGGGAAAATTCTGAAACCTCAACAATCTTTGTAGAACAAGAAAAGCCATTTTTTTTCCCTTCAGCTCAACAACACATGCCCAAGTTCCCCTTTCTGGAGACCTCCCAGGCCAACAGCCATTTTCTATCATCTGCTACCTACAAAACAACTACACAGAATCATTTAGGTTGGAAAAGACCTTTAAGATCGTCGAGTCCAACCGTTAACCCAGCACTGCCAAGTCCACCACTAAACTATGTCCTTAAGTGCCACATCTACCCGTCTTTTGAATACCTCCAGGGATGGGGACTCAACCACTTCCCTGGGCAGCCTCTTCCAGTGCTTGATAACCCTTTCCTTTTAAATTTCAGTAACAGCAGAGCCAACGTTTCCAAACAGCTCTACCTATAGACCAGTTTCCTATGAAAACATTTAATTCCATCTTTTATAGACATCTCTGAGAAACACCAACTCAGAGGAGAAAACATATTGGGACCGTAGGGTATGAAAGATGGCTGGGAAGCCACGAGCAGCCCCGCAGGGAGCCTGTGCTTGCCCCAGCTCAGGGAGGCTGCCTCTTGCCCTCGTTTCTCATACCGTCACCTCTTCCATCCAGTTTCATGGCATGACTGGCACCATCCTGCGCGTCCCGTCCCCCGGGCTCCCCTTGCCCCATCGCTTTGTGATGCCATTCTGTTCCATTGGTTCTCATCCAGGGGAACGCGTCCAACCCGACCTGCCTCCGTCTCCTTCCTACGCGCCACCCAAAACAACCTTGGGACGAGACGGGCACCCGCCGACAGGTAACCACCGCTGGGCAGAGCGTTTCAGCCTGACCCACGTTTATTCGTGTTTGCTCATACTTGCATTAGCGTTTATTATTGCCGTGTTCTGACGGATGGGCAGTGATGACTGAGGGTGTTGACCATAAAAAGATGGAACTACTGCAAAACATCGCGCTGAATTAATTTATTGGCATTTAGAAAATCTTCCTGGGAAAAAGGGTAGTGGCAGAGAAGTGCCTTTTTAATTAGCTAATGAGACAGCGTAGTTGGATCTCTGAATTTCATACGCCACTGAAGAGCAGCAGGCTTTCCCTATTTCACATACAATTTGGGAAGTAACAAGTATCCACAGAAGAGGCCCAGGAAGCCATTAAAAAAAAAATCCCTAATTGTCTCACTTGTTAAGCTGCAGGCAAAGGATGTCTCCCGGCGCTCTTTGGACAGCGTATCTGCTGTCACTGCTGTTCACCTCCCAAACCATATCTGCAAACCGAGATATAAAAGCAACACACACCCCCCCACCCCTACTATTCAACATCTGATCTACGTTTTTGTAAATGGAACTGTAATATTGTACGCACTTTACCAAGAGTTTCAGATGTTTTAAAATCTAAATTATAATGCCATGGTTAAACCTAAAACTTCTAACAAACACATACAAATGCCTGAGTATGTCCTAATATATGTAGGTATATTCAGGTTTTTTTCCACCCTGAAATATTTAGTTAAGTTTTGTTGACAAATCTCAACTAGCTAGGAATTCAATCCTGCCTCTTTCTGCAAATTTATTCAGCTCAAATATGCAAAATATGAGGGTGAAATGCAATGCATTTTCCCCTGCGGGGCTGTGATTGCTTGTACCTGGATGGAGGTACTTTGTCAAAGGGCTGCAGGTAAAACGCAGAGACAAATGCATGTTGCAGATTTCTCAAAGGGCCTGCTGCAGACCAGCTGTGCTTGACTTGTTTTGCTTTGGATAACTGAAATAGACCCGACACGCAGAGTACTTATGCACTCTTACTCTTATCTCTGTGCAGGTGTAGGTTGAAGCCTGTAATACATCTGCAGTCTGTACAGGACTTCTGTAAATTCTCTGAAAGCCTGTTTTGGTGGAGCCTTCATTCTCATTTCTGTGAGACCGTCTCCAACATTTCTGTGATTCCAAGGCCCCTTGCTTATTCCTGCAGCCTTTCAGGGGAAAAAAGTATGAAGGAACTTCTAATAATGTACACTAATACAGAAATAAAATTCAAACAGGAATCAGGACAGTTGCAACATTGGAGAAAATATCAAGAAAGGACAAGAACAGTAAGGAATTCATTTTACTTTATTGGAATTTAGCCACTGAAAATAAATTGTATTCAATGGGATGACTCTCCGTATTTTCCTGATTTTATCTTCTTTTTGACAAAAAGAGTCATGGTAAGTATCCGTTCCTAGTTTGGAATACAGGGTACACTGCCAGCAGCTTGTGTTCTTCTCCTGGTTAATGAATTTTTGATGCTTTGTGTGATTTTTCTCAGTGCCTCGCTTATCCTTCATTTTAGCAGCTCTTCCAGCCTAAAAAACAAACCAAGAAAAGTCAAAATCAAAACTGTAATATTTTGATGATGGGATGTATAGCTTCAACATTGTTAGGGTAAGAAAGGGCTAACAAGGTCTTCTGGCTTTGGGTCACTAGCTTACCTGTCATGCAGTTATAAATACCCCTTCAAAGAAAGGTAACCAACAACATAAGTTGGTTTTATTCTTCTGTCTTCCTATGAACCATTTTTGTCACTGGCGAATGACATAGGTGCTTCCAGGACTCGTCTATCCCTGTTCCCAGTTGCTCATGGCATGTCTTTCCTACCCCTGCTCTCTCTTACGACTGGCAGATTTGATTCATGCAGCCGCATCCTGGTTCCCGCTCTGCGCTGCTGCTCCCTTCCCACCGCCTGTTCGGGCTCAGGGGATGTCCCTCCCTGCTCTCCACAGGCGAGTGGAACAGGAGCCAGACGATATTAGTTATTAAGTCTTACTTAGAACAAATACCATATTTTCGACCATGGTCTTAACAGAAGGACACACTGACCGATACTCATGTGGGACGGAGGAAGCGAGATGTTTCATGCAAGCTTAGGGAAAGGCTGAGCTTGGGCCACAGCAGAGGCTGAGGAATGACCACCAACATCTGACTCGAAGAAATAAAATTCTAGCAAATTTCTGCAACAGATCTGCTCAGTTGCAGCAAGGGTGCGAGGGACAAGGAAGCTTCCTCCTGCCTAGTGTCACCTTCCAAGGGCAGCTTTTGTTAGTAGTTAATTGCATTTTTGTGGACACAAGATGAGAGAAGGATGTCACTGGTTGCAGTGGTCATTACTCACATCTTCTGAAAAGGGAAAGCCTGAAGTTTCAATCTCAGAAAATAGTCAGCTCGCCATTTTTCTTGACCTCAAAGCTCCCTGCAAGAAAGAGTTTTTCAGGTGCTGTTCAAAAAGCAATCTGCCCTAATCCTCCTCTTCCTGCTCTGCAACACCCCTCAGCAATTGCTGGGGCTTAGTTTCTACCTCTACTACTACTACTTATATCACTATCTGTACGTCATACTTAGCACAAACCCAACAACATAGCAGCATGGCACAAACACGGAAAATCACTACCTGGATTTTTTTAAATTTTTTTTTTTTTTTATTAGCTTCTGGTGTAGCGCGACAATCCATGCTGACGTATCTTCACCCTTCTACATGGTTAAATAATACTGAGATATATTTCATTATCACTAATGAAACAGTAATTAGCCCTATACCCCCAGCATATCTTACCTTTCCTGCCCACTTCATCTGGAATCTCCACATCAGGAACCTGCTCCTTTATTTTCTTGGCAAGCTTCTGTTACTGCACTAAATATTCTCATCATCTGCTCTAAAAAAAAGCAAATGCACAAAAATAAATTACAGCCCCCAAAGGCTTAGCAGCTACAAACTGTTCACAAGCTTGATGTTTACAGTGATGTGCTAGTGCACGCAACCACAGCATTTTCCAGACTAATTTGATGCGCTGCAGTTCTAGCCCACCATAGCTGATATGAAGGAATTGTACCTTGATTTCACTCCATTAATGACAAGCACGAGCACAGCCAACTATTTATTTAGAGCAAGAGCACCAAACAAGGTATGCTGTAAAACAGACCAAGAACAGCAGACAGGAACAAAGTAATTTGTTTTTCTTATACACGACAGGGAACAACGGCACTGCAAACTACTGAGCAGCTGGCAGCATTAACGAGGGCTGTTTCAACTTTTACTAACCCTTAAAAACATTCTTACCAAGAGTCCTTGCCTTCCTACAGAGGGGAACACATTAAAGAAAAGGAAGATAACTTAAAGAAACATATTGAAAAACAGGTACTATGGTCATATACAGGCTGATGGCAGCACTAAAAAGCACTTTTTGAAACCATTATTGGGAAACGGTAAGTTAAATTCAATCTGTAACAGCTGTCATACAGGTAGAACAAAATTTGTATTGAAGACTACAAATCACTGAAATCATTAAATACATTGTCAGTATTTTAAAAAGACTATAAATCCATATAGCTGAATTTTAGTACTAAAATCAGCAATGCTAACATGCATCATTCAAGAAGGTAAAAGCGTATGCTTATTCCTACTTTTTGTGGAATCCGAATCAAGACCTTGATTTACTATTTTAACGTAACACGACAACAAATCCACATCAGTGCTACCCTACTGCAAGCTCAGGGGCTGAGAATTAACTTACCATTACTCTCACCACAAAATGGATTACTTGCAAGGAAAAGTGTTAATTGTAAAAAGAAAGATTACATCATCAGAAGTCTTTTCAGAAACCTTGTTATATTTTTAAA